CAGAGACACCTTAACTGTGTTTCTCTTGTGCTTATCTAAGAGCATCCTCTTCCTCGCTGCCTGGGAGAGAGCAAGCCGACTGCTTTCCAGCAGGAAAATCACTCTTGGAAAGATTCAGCCCCCCGCTGAGTGGGCAGCACTGGCCCACGGGAGCTTGGCTCCTCCGTCCGTCTCGGCGCGGCTCTTCAGATTCCGAGAACTCAAAGGGAAGTGGATGATGGACACCCCCATCCTGCTCCTGTCACGCAGAGCCCTGGGGAGAGGCATCCAGCAGATTTCTCGCCAGCGTTGCGGCACAGCGTGGCAGTGTCTCTCCGTGCATGATTCCTGCAGGCATCTCATGGGGAAGACAGATGTCTCCTTGTGGGATGGGCTGAGGGGGCTCCTGGGCTGCAGGCAGGGATGTTTTCTTTGATATGAGAAGTGGTTGCAGCTCTGCTGCTGACACGCTGCCTGCTCTCTGCCCGCTGCTCTTCCTGGTGCATGTTGGGGATAACTCTCTTTAACCAAGTAGTAAGTGACAGAACAAGAGGCGATGGCCTTGAATCGCACCTGGGAAGGTTTAGACTAGATATTAGGAAGGATTTCTGTGCAGAAGGGGCTGTTGGGCGTTGGAATGGGCTGCCCAGGGCAGGGGGGAGTCCCCGGGATCCCTGGGGGGGTTGAAGAGTCGGGCTGAGCCAGCGCTGAGGGATCTGGGGGAGTTGGGAAGGGTCAGGGGGAGGGTCATGGTTGGGCTGGAGGAGCTTCAGGGGCTTTTCCAACCCGGATGACTCTGGGGTTCTGTGGTATTTCAGCTCTGTGAGGGGAACAATGGGCTGAAAGACAAAGTCACCCCTGGATTTGTTCCCTCACCCTTGCGAAGAGGATGGAGCAGCTGCCACGGAGAAGTGTCCATCAAGTTCCCACCATCCCGTCCTCCACCTCCAAGCGACACGAGGCACCAGCTCAGCCTCCCGCCCGGCTCCTCCAGCCCTTTTCGCAGCAGGTCGAGGTTGCTCAGGGTTGGAGATGACTTCCAGCAAGGCGTAGTTGAGAACTCTCAATGTTAGGTTAATGCTTGGACTAGGTGACCTTCAAGGTCTTTTCCAACTGAGATGATTCTGTGATTCTGGGAAGGTCTCCAGAGCTTTTTTTCTAAGCAGAAATCTCCAGGTCTGTTGGCTTCTCCCATGTAGTTGTTTCCACAGCAGCCTCCCAACCGCTCGCTCTCCCATAAGCCCTGATCCTGTGTGATGCTGAGCTGCCTCCCTGCCCTGACTGGGACCGACCCCCAGCTCCCCCAGGAGCTCCCCCCCGGGCCCGGCGCCTTCCCCAGCGCATACTCACGTGGTGGTGGCGGTGGTGGATGTTAACTTCATCTTCATCCTCATCCTCATCTTCATCGTTGATGATCACGGTGCGGACCAGTTTCCTCATGGCCACCTCCTGCGGGGGAACAGGAAAGGAGTTGGGGGGGTTGATGTCTGCCGCCCCCCCTGTGCCCCGAGCTGGTGCTGCCGCCGGGCTCTCACCTCCCCGTTGGAGTTGATGAGGGCAGTGCGCAGGCTGTCCCCGGAGCCCCAGCTGCTCTGGGCTTTCCACACCACATTGCTGGGGGGGCTATGGGTCGCCCCAGCCCCCGAGGCCCAGATCTAGGGAGAAAAGCACAGAGAAAAGCAATGGTTGGGGTCTGCGGGTCTGTCCCCAGGCTCCAACCACTCCGCCTGGCTGGGTTTAGGATCTCGGCTGGTTCCTTCCCCGGGCAGGGACTCACCGTCACCACCTGGCCAGCCTTCAGAGTGAACTTCGGGGGGAAGCGATAGGTGATGGGGGGGTCATCTCCATTTTGTCGCTTGATCTGCCAGTTCCCCATCGCCTGGTCCTGCAGGAGAGAGAACAACACCCCTGAGATCCCCCCGTTCCTCCCCAGCTTGTCCCCGTTCACCTCCTGCCTGTGGGGTGAAGCGGGGCTGAGCTACACCACCCCCAGGGATCCCAGGGATCCTCCCCGAAGGCAAACTCACCTCGTTGGACTTGTTCCGGAGACGGACGAATCTGCCCTCCAAGTCCACCTCCTCCACGCCGACGCGGCCGCTTGTCCTGGCGTGGTGGGAGAAGCTGGTCCGACTCTCGCTGTCCTCCAGCTTCCTCTTCTTGGAGGAGCCCGGGGTGGACAAGTGGCTACGGGAGGCCCCTCTGTGGGAGGAGGGGCTGGGGGACAGCCTCAGCCTGGGCAGGAGGAGAAGGTGAGATGGAGTCAGCGAGGACACAAGGGACCCACACAGCCCCTCGGGCGCGGCGCCCCCTGCTCACCGCTCCTCCTCGCCCTCCAGCAGCTTGCGGTAGGCGTTGATCTCCATGTCCAGAGCCAACTTGATGTCCAGCAGCTCCTGGTACTCGTCCAGCTGCTGCTGCATGCGTGCCCGCATCTCGGCCATCTCCCGCTCCTTGTCGGAGAGCAGGCGCCGGTTGGTCTCCCGTTCCCTGGCCAAAATATCCTCCAAATCGTGCAGCTTCGCCTCCTTGGCAGCCAACTGTGCGGAGAGGTCAGTGTTAGGTTAACGGTTGGACTAACGGTCAGGGGGAGGTTCATGGTTGGACTGGATGACCTCCAAGGTCTTTTCCAACCCAGATGATTCTCTGATTCTGTGAGGGAAGGGGGGGGGTGGCCGCTCCACCTGGGTCCACCCCCAGGAGGGGACCATCCCCCGGGGTGGACATCCAGGGGGAATCCCTTGGTCCTGACTCACCTGCTTCTGCAGCTGGCTGACCTCAGAGGAGAGGTTGTCGATGCGGATGCGGGTTTGCTGGAGCTCCTCGTGGGCAGCACCCACCATGTTGCTGTTTCTCTCGGCCGACTGCTTGGCATTCTCCAGCTGGAGGACAGGATGGGTGGGTTAAGGTCCCCAGCACCCTCTGCCCATCGGGGCGGGAAGGGGACGGTCGCGCGCGGGTGCTGCTCACCTTTGCCCCGTAGGTCTTCTCCAGTTCCTCCTTGTAAAGGCGGATCTGGGCTTCGTGCTGGCTCCGCAGCTCCTGCAAGGCTTCGGAGAGTTTGCTCTCAAACTCCCGCTGCCGCCCGTTGTCGATCTCCACCAGCCGGGTCTCGTGGCGGCGCTTGGTCTCCCGCAGCTCCTGGAGACAGGTCAGAGGACACAGTGTCACCTCGAGGTGGGATCGGCTTTGGGGATGGGGACACAACGCAATCCCAAGAGAGCCCGGCACCGCAGCGGCACGTCACGCCTCACCTCACTGTAAATGTTCTTCTGGAATTCAAGCTCTTCCTTCAGCGTCTGCAGCCGGTTCTCGGCGTCCACGCGGCGCAGCATCTCATCCTGCAGCTGCTTCTTGGCTTCGTTCAAGGCGCTTTCCAGCTGCGGGGGATGAAGAAGGACCCTCACAGCGGGCTCCAGGCACAGCACCCACCACCCAGCCCCTGGCACAGCGGGGACCTGGGGGGGCCCTGGGGCATTTGGGGACAGGGCTGTCACCACTCACCTTGGCCACCTGTGCCCTCAGGTCCCGCACTTCAGTCTCCAGATTCCGCTTCTCGCCCAGCGCTGTGGAGAGCGCAGCCTCTTTGGAGTTAAGCAAAGCCTCCACATCCTTGAGCCGCGCCTGGGCAGTCAGCAGGTCCCCTTCCTTCTTGGCATTCCTGCAACCGGGATGGCGCGGATGAGCGGCACGGCCGGGAGAGACCACGCGATGCACCTCACCCCCACCCCAAGCACCGCGTCCGCACTTCTCCGATTGCCTGAAAGTGCCGCAGGGTTGTACCCAACACCCACCCGACAAGGCACTGGCAGGTCCCGGCCCCCTGGCGTGTCCAGCACCAGTTCGATACTGGGAAACAGAAAGCACTGGGAAGGTCTGGGTGAGCAGGAGGCATCTCAGGGCTGTAACACCCATGGGTGACAGCCCGGCTAGAGGTCAGGACGGTCCAGCCCGTGCCAGAGGCACAGCGCGGGTGGTGTGGCATGACACGGCCTGGTGTGACACGGCCTGGTGTGGCCCAGTGTGGCACGGCATGGCACAGCGTGACACAGCACAGCGTGGCGTGACACCGCAGCGTGACATGGCGTGGTGTGGCACAGGGCAGCACGGTGTCGTGCGGCAGTGTAGTGTGACAGGGCACATCGTGGTGTGGCGTGGCACAGCGCGGGGTGGTGGGACACGGTGCAGCACGGTGCGGCGTGGGGCTGTATGGGGCAGGAACAGCTGGGGAGGAGCGAGGGTGCTGGGGGGTGCAGAAGCCCCATGGTCAAAGCTGCCCCATGGCCAGAGCTGCCCCATGGCAAGAGCTGCCCCATAGCAAGAGTTGCCCCACGGCCAGAGCTGCCCCGTGGCCAGAGTTGCCCCACGGCCAGAGCTGCCCCATAGCCAGAGCTGCCCCATGGCCAGAGCTGCCCCATAGCCAGAGCTGCCCCATGGCCAGAGCTGCCCAACCAAGGCAGCAGCCGGGCAGAGAAAGCCCCGACACCTTTCCCAGCGCGGGGGGCTGGTGCCTCTCCCCGAGCCCGCTGTGGCCCCCGGCTGGCTCTGCCCCCGCACCGGCCTGCGGACGGGTGACCCGGCCTCCCGCACTGCCGTTCCGTTCCGTACCTCCGTTCCCCCTTTGCCTTTTAAACCCTCCAACAGGAGGTCAAGGGCATTCCTTGGAAGCAGCAGACCCGAGACGCATGGCTGTGTGACCAGGGAATCCGATCCCCCTAAACCCACCAAAACACAACCCGTCGCTATTTTGGTAAGCCCTATAAAAAGACAAGACCCGATGCACTTTCTGGGGCCGTCAGCACCGGGCTGGTTTGCACTGTCAGGACACAGATTGTCACCCCACCTCCCCCAAAATCGGGTGTAGGACTGGTGGAGGCAGGATGCGCCTGGGGCCTGGCGCCAGCTGCGGTGGCCCCTCGGCCGTGGGCGAGCGCTGGCTGCACGCCGGCGCGTGGGGCACATTCCTGGGGCGTCGAGCGCCATTAGATCATGGCTAAAAAATACCAGGGAGGGGCTCGGGGCACAGACGGCGCTCAGCCCGTCCCAGCTGCAGGATCCAGCCCTGGGGCAGGACGGGGAAGGTCGGCAGCGAGACGCCGAGGAGGTGCTGCCGCTCCTCCTGCCCACAGGGACCCCGGGACAGGCAGGGATCAGCATTCCCAGACTTGCATGTAGGTGGGAAGCTCCTTGCTTGGCCAGCGGCAGATTTTCCTGCTTTTCTTTCTGCTTTCTGATCTGAGCCAGCACAGAGACGGTGTTCGCAGATTTTCACACCTTGTCAGGCCCTGGCGGACTCGATTCGCCCCGGTTTTGGGGGGAATCCCGGTCCCCCCACCCGCTATGCTGGCGGGTCCTTCCCGTGCAACACGCTCCTTCCATGCCAGTGACTCATAGGACAAAAATGCCATCCGGGAGCCGATCCGGAGCCTCCTCTGCTCATTGCAAGCAACATTTGAGGCTGAGTTTTCCCATCTGACAGCAGCTCGCAGCTGCAAGCAGCGCGGCCACCCCAGCACTGCTGGCAGGGTTCAATCCTGCTGTCCTCGGCGGAGTTAACCACTCCGAGAAGATCGGACCACCCTGGGGGGGGTCACTGGCTCTTTGGGATGGGGTTTGGGGCATGTGCAGTGTTCAGGCACATCCTGGAGCCTCCGACCCTTTCGGGGACACCAGTGCCATTTCCAAGAGAAATACGGAGCGGGAAAGGCTGAGACTAGAGGGTTACACTTGTGTCTCCGCAGTGGCGACAGATTTGCCCTCTCCAGGGGCTGGAGGGATCCAGGCTCTAGGCAAAACACATTGATGCCTAGAAAATGGTACATCCCAGAAGGATAAATCTCTTTTCCTTAAAAGCCTCTGTGCCGAGCTCTGGGTTACACCGGGGAGGAGCAGAGACGGCAGCTCGGAGCTCTCCGCCGGGGCTGCAGCGGCGGCGGCTGCGGGGCTGAGGTCGGGAGCAGTTTTGCTGGAAGGACTGGGGGTGAGACAGACCCTGTCCTGTCCTGTCCTGTCCTTCAGTAAGTCTGGAGGTCTTACACAGCTCCTGAGCATCTCCACCCATGGGCCTTCAAAACACAGCCCCGACCCCGAATGCAGCAGCCTCCAGATCAGATTCCAGCACGCAGGCAAGTCCTCTCCTTCCCTTGTGCCCACGCGTCCACGCAAACCCTTGTGATCCCCGTTCCAGCCCAGCCAGGCTTTGGGTTTTCCCCTCGCCTCCCGTTAGGTCCTGCTTTTATTTCCCCTGCAGCCTCCCGGGCTCCATCTGGCGCTGGGCTAAAAATAAAAACTTCCACGGCAGCTGCGCTGCTCCCGCTTCCCTCAGCAAGGGGACGGACAGGGACCTTCCTCCTCCTCCCTGGAGGGTTTCACTGGTCTCTCCATTCTGCCCGTTAAGAGCCTAAAAGATCCCAAATCCTCTGCCAGCCAAAAGGGAAGCACAGACCCACACCGAAGGGCTGCGTGCCTGCAGCCAGGGGACAAGGGCTCAGAATCCCACAGGATTTGATCCCCTGTGCTGGCAGCGTCCGGCGTAAAAAACAAGCATTTATCGAAGCCAAGAGGAGAAAACACAACAGAGGTACCAAATCCTCAAGAAATAAATGTCTCAAGAGAAAAGATGGAGGGAAAAGGGGCCTCAAGATGTTTTATTTTTAGCTTTTAAAAGCAGGAAGGAGGAAAAAAAAAAAAAAAGAAAAAAAAAAAAAGAAAATTGCAGCTGAGCTGCCAGAAAATCCAAATGTTAATGGAAAGTTGGAGCTGCTCTGACTGTGCTCGGCACAGACACAGAAACGAGCCTGCAAAGCTGACACGATGGTTCCCAAAAGGGCCAGGGCTGACCACCCTCAGGGTGCACAGACGCTGCAGAAGGTTCAGGGGCCGCCCCGCAGAGCAGCGCCCAGGATCTGCTCCTGCTTCCCTTCGCTCTGCCCCCAACCCCCCGAAATCTGGCGGATTCTGGACTCTCCCTCCGGAAAAGCTGCGACAGGCCGGAGCCGTCAGAGCTGACGGGAGACGAGCAGCTTTGGGCACGTGCCCTGCCAGGCTGGCAGAAAGGTGCCAACCCTCTCCGAGAAGCCAAAACCCCCCCTGGGTGCATTTTAGGAAACACCTTTTGGTTTCACCCTAATCACCACGAGCCGCTTCTGCAGCACAAGGGATGGAGCAGCCGCCGCCGCCGCGCTTGGGCAGCGCCGAGCTTCGCGCGCTGGGAGGGGATCAATGGGGTGGCAGAGCCAGTGGAGAAACAGGCGTTTCCCTCCTTCCCAGCCCCCAAATCGCAGCCGCCCCACCCCAGAGAAGGTGCCAAGTCAGGGGAGCTCGCAGGCTCACGCCCCATCTCGAAATCTTTCTGCCCGTCTGCAGGTCCCGGGGTTTTTCGCAGCTGGCTGGCAGGGAGCCGGGTGACACACCAGCCTGCTCCCCCGCAACCCTGCCACTGGGGAAACACGACCCCAGCAAAGACCTTACGACACATTTACAGCTTGGGAAACTGAGGTAAGAGAGGCGTCATGTGCCCGAGGAGGTTTATGAGGGATCTGATTGCTAGGAGGACCCAGAAAACCTGCTCTGCCCCACCTTGGCCGCGCTGCGCTGCCTCCAGCACCAGGGATCTGTCCTAGGGATCGCTCCCCCCACCCCAGAGATTGCTCCCCCCCATTCCAGGGATCGCTCCCCCCATCCCAGGGATCGCTTCCCCCATTCCAGGGATCGCTCCCCCCACCCCACGGATCGCTCCCCCCATCCCAGAGATCGCTTCCCCCCATTCCAGGGATCGCTCCGCACATCCCAGGGATCACTCCTTCACCCCAGGGATCATTCCCCCATCCCAGGAATCACTCCCCCACCGCAGGGATCGCTCCCTCCATTCCAGGGATCGCTCCCCCATTTCAGAGATCACTCCCCCACCCCAGGGATTGCTCCCCCACCTCAGGGATCACTCTCCCCATTCCAGGGATCACTCCCCTGCCCCAGGGACCAGGGCCCCCCAGGACAAGCAGCAGGGGCAGCGTGAGGAAGGGCGGTCTTGAGAAAACCTCCTCGCTGGGGCAATGGGAATGTGGCAAAGCAGCTTCTCCCAGCTCCTGACTCATCTGTGCCGCTGCGCCTTTGCCAAATCACCAGGATAAACACAGGCCCGTCTCCTAGCAGGGAGCTGTAAATAGGCAGCCCGATGTATAGCGCGGACAACATCTGTACGGAGCCAGCATCCTGTTAGGCACCAAACCCGCTGCCAAATGGCAGCCAGGGGATGCCAGCGCTGGCTCTGCTCAAGGATGCACGGAAACAGCCCCCACCCTCCAGCAG